CAATCCCTTTTTTTTTTTTGAGACAGGGTCTCCCCTGTAGTCCCAGCTGTCCTGGAACTCACTATGTAGACCAGGCTGGCCTTGAACTCACAGAGATCCGCCTGCCTCTGCCTCCCAAGTGCTGGGATTAAAGGCGTGTGCCACCATGCCCGGCGAAACAAAAAGACTGAATTCTATTCTATGTGTATAAGTGTTTTGCTTGCATGTATGTCTGTGTACCGTATGCATACAAGGCCAAGGAGGAGTTACGACTGACTATGGGTACTAGGAGCTCTGCGAGAGCAGCCAGTAAGTGCTCTTATGCTGAGCCATCTTTTTTTTTTTTTTTTTTTTTGAGACAAGGGTCTCCCAACAGCTACAGCTGGCTTGGCATTCATTATGCAGATCAAGCTGACCTTGACTTCATAGAGATCTGCGTGCCTGTCTCCTGACTGCTGGGATTAAAGGCGTATACCACCATGCTCAGCTGAAGTGCATTTTAAAAAATATGTATTTTATTTTATGTGTGTAAGTGTATTGCCTGCACGTATGTAAGTTCACCACGTGTGTGCAATGCCTCAGGAGGTCAGAAAAGGGTGTTTTTTTTTTTTTAAGTCTATGTGTATATTGCCTGCATGTAGGTAAGTGCAATGCTCACAGAGGACAGAAGAGGCTATTGGATCCCTTGGAACTGGAGTTGTGGATAGATACTGACTGCAATGTGGGTGCTGGGCTCCGAACCCAGGTCTTCTCCAAGAACAGCCAGTGTTTTTATCCACTGAGCCATCTCTCCAGGCCCAATAAATACAGTATTTTTAAAAACAATGAAAAAAGCTAAATTAAAATAGGGTGGGGATGTTGCTCAGTGGTAAAGTGCTTGTTTCATATGCCTGAACTCCTGAGTCTGATCCACCACCACTGCCATCCCTACCATCACAACAAAACAAAAACAAAAACAAAAAATCACCCTACCAAAACCTAAGAAACTTATGCAACTAGGCAACCTATTTGTCTTGAGTGCCCTCTACTGGAGGATCTTCACTGATACCATTATTATCAATGCTAAATTGCAATTAATGACAAGAAATAATTCAAGGAAAGAGCACTGTGTTTTGGCAAAAAGGCCAGTGAGATGGCTCAGTGGGTAAAGACACTTGCTACCAAGTCTGACGACCTGAGTTTGACCCATAGGACCACATGATGTAGGTTGTCCTCTGACTTCCCTCCACACAAGCACTGTCGTATTCATGCCCACAAACACAGACACATACACAAACACACAAAGAAGAAAAATTAAAATATAATTTAAGAATATAGCAAAAGATCTACTCAAAATATGTGGATGCTTTAAATTTTAGATAGAGTTCTTTAGTTTTGCTTATGACAGGTAAATGCTAACCATCTCCTTAATCAAGGCTTAAAAAAAAATCAAGTAAGAGCAGTTTCATCTTCCATTTCTGGCCCTGGAAGAGTTATTTTTAGCCAATGGTAGGTTGTGGTTGCAGAGTGGGAAGTAACGGCAAACAACCATCTCTGTACTGTGGAGTTCATATTTACCTCTCTTCTCACTTGTCAAATCTGGAAGAAATGGCTTAAGGGTCCAAGCAGTAGCTCAGTGGAAGAGCATCTGCCTACATGCAGGAAGCTCTCGGTCTAATCTCAAAAAATCCTGGTTTTGCTGGGCATGGTGGCGCACACCTTTGATGCCAGCACTTGGGAGGCAGAGGCAGGCGGATCTTTGTGAGTTCGAGGCCAACCTGGTCTACATAGTGAGTTCCAGGACACCTGGGGCTACAAGGAGACCTTGTCTCAAAAAAGACAAAAAACAAAAACAAAACCCTGGTTTTATCACAAAACGTCTCGATTCAACTGTGTATGATGGCAAATGCCTATAATCCCAGTACTCAAGAGACTGGAGGTAGGAAGATGAAAAATTCATGGCCAGGCTGGGACAGATATTAAATTCCAGGGTATTTATCGAGACCCTGTCCCAAACAAGTAACAAAAATAATCATGAACCTAAAAATCATGTGTATGTATTGTCTTTTAGTCAGGCAAAATCCACTTTGCTGTTTTTAATTTTTATTTATTTATTTCTTAAGACAGGGTCCCTTTGTAGACCTAAACTGGTCTAGAACTCACTATGTAGACCAGACTGGCCTCGAACTCACAGATATCAGCCTGCCTCTGCTTCCCCAGTGCTGGGATTAAAGGCATGTGCTACTATGCCTGGCTCATATTATGGTACTTTTAGACATTAATATTTCATACAGTCTACTCTCTTGACCAGTAATACTTACAGCTAATCTGTGATTATTTGCAAGGCTGATCATTTGTTGAGCTAGTCCATTTAGTAATCGAGTACGAAGGGACAGATCATCAAGGTCATGACGAAAAGGAAAAGCGATGCTGTCTATTATCACTAGTCGAACCTAAACACAGAAAAGAGAATGAAATTAGGTTTGGTGTTATACGTACCATTATAAAAATGGCATCCAAAAAGCATATTCCATTACAGAAATAAACCTGAAAGTCAAGGACTTAAAAACAAAAAAACTGGCAGGGTGGTATATACTTGTAATCTCAGCACTCAGGAGGCAAGGGCAGGAGGATTCTGAGTTACTATAAGACTTTACCTCAAAAAAAGGAGGCAGGGGACTAGAGAGATGGCTCAGTGGTTAACAGTACTGGCTTCTATTGCAGAGGACTTGGGTTCGGTTCCCATGGCAGCTCATAACCATCTGTATCTTTGGGGGATCCAACTCCTTCTTCTTGCCTCCATGGGAAGGGTACACTTACATACATGAAGGCAAGACACTCATATAAATAAATAAATAAATAAATAGAGTATTATAGTTAAGATTGTATAATAAATAAAATAAGAAAATGGTCAACATTATTGGCAATGCAAATTAAAATCCTAGTAAGATATTGTTACACCACTATGAAATAGTTTTTTTTAAATTAAGCTTTATTTTTTTATTTTATTTTATGTGTATGCATGTATTGCCTGCATGTAGGTAAGTGCACCCCTGTCGTGCAATGCCGGCGGAGGTCAGAAGAGGCTTGTCAGATCCCCTGGGACTGGAGTTATGGACAGTTGTTAGCTGCCATGTAGGTGCTGGGATTCGAACCTGGGTCTTCTGCAAGAACCAGTGAGCTGAGCCATCTCTCCAGCCCTGAAATAGTATATTGGTAAGATGTAGAGGAACTAAATCGCCTACACACTACCTAAGAGGATGTGAACTAGAAAAACCATTTAGGATCACTCGCACGTATCACCATTTCTAGCTATAATCATGCATTTTAAAACAATGAATTTTTTTTTTCCCTTGGTCTTTTTGAGACAGGCTCTCCCAGTAGCCCCAGCTGACCAGGAACTCACTATATAGATAAGGCTGGCCTGGAACTCAAGAGATCTGCCTACTTCTGTCTCCTGAGTGCTGGGATTAAAGGCATGTGCCATCACACCCAGCTGAAACTATGGATTTTTGAGTTGGGCACAATGGAACATGGTAGTAATCATAGCAATCAGGAAGCTAGACTGGACTACAGGTTAAGACTGTCTCAAAAAATAAAATAGCTGGGTATAGTGGCACACTCCTTTAATTTTACCACTTGGGAGGCGGAGGCAGGTGGAGTGAGTTCAAGGCCAGCCTGGTTTATCTAGCAAGTTTTAGACCAGTCCAGACTACACAGTGAGATCTTATCTCAAAACAAAAACAAATTAGTAACAATTAATAGTATATATACATACATAGATAAAACAAATTTAGTATGTTAATTTCACCTTGTAAATTCAAAGCCAGCCTGAATTACAATTCAACATCAGCTCTGACTACATACCCTGTGTCTCAATGCTCCCCACTAGAAAAAAATACAGAAACATTTTAATATAATTTTAGTTTGTAACCCCTTTTATTATTTAAAAGACAATTAATTAGATAAAAAATTACATTGACAGGCACAGAATATATAAAGATGTAATTCTTAACAATGCCATAAATGGAGGGTTAAATGGAACTATATAGAATCCAAACTTGGAGGCCTACTAAATAAGATGTTGATAGTGGCTGGGTGTGGTGGTACATGCCTTTAAAGCCTGTACTGGGGAGGCAGAGGAAGGCAGACCTCTGTGAGATAGAGGCCAATCTGGTCTACCTAGTGAGTCCCAGGCCAGCTGGGGCTATGGGAAGACCATGTCTCAAAAACAACAACAAAACTAAAACAAAACAAAAAGATGGTACTAGTAATCCCAATACAACTACTAAAAAATTATATAGTAAAACAAATGAAATCCATTACTTAGGAGGCTGACACAGGAGGGCTGCTGAGACTGAGGTCAGTCTGAGCACCATATAGCCAAGTTCTGGGCTACACAGCGAGACATTGTCTCCAAAATCAAACAAAGCAAGGAAAAACCCCCAGCTGACATAATAAAGCTAAATTTTTTTTTTTTTTTTTTTTTGGTCTGTTTGAGTCATGGTGTCCCCGTAGCCCCAGCTGGCCTGGAACTCACTATGTACTATGTATACCAGGCTGCCTTCAATCTCAGAGATCCACCTACATCTGCCTCCCAACTGCAGGGATTAAAGGTATGTGCCACCATGCCCAGGCCTTCATAAACCTAATTCTTGTAACACAGGGTAGCTATGTTCCATAAAACTACCACCCACACTGAATTGGTGAACACTGAACCACTGGTCTGAAGGAAAATACAGGAACACAATTTTATGAAACTCTGGTCATACTTCCATCAAGTGATCTGTACATATCCTTATTTTATGTATATTTCTTTTTTATTATTTAATTTTTATTTTATGTGTATGTGTGTATTGCCTCATGTAGGTAAGTGCACCCGTGTCATGCAATGCCCTTGAGGACAGAAGAGGCTGTCAGATCCCCTGCAACCGGAGTTATGGACAGTTGTTAGCTGCCATGTAGGTGACAACCACTGTTCTTAACTGCTGACCCCTCTCCAGCCCCCATTTTTATGTATATTTCTATTTAAGAACATTTAGTATATTTTGATAACACTGAATGGACAGCCAATAACTCACAGATCTCATCTAACTCAAGTATTTCCCCCCACCCCTTTTTCTTTCTTTTTGGTCTTTTTGAGACAGGGTCTCCCTGTAGCTCCAGCTGTCCTGGAACTATGTAGACCAGGCGGGCCGTTAACTCACAGAGATCTGCCTGCCTCTGCCTCCCAAGTGCTGGGACTGAAGGTATGTACCCCACATCTGGCTTTTTTTTTTTTTTATATGCATGAGTGTATTGCCTGTATGCGTGTAAGTGCACCTGTGTTGTGCAATGCCTGAGGAGGGCAAAAAGAAGCACTGGATCCCCTAGAACTGGAGTTACAGACCATTGTTAGCTGCCAAGTGGGTGTTGGGAATCCAACCCAGGTTCTCTGTAAGAGCAGCCAGTGCTCTTAACCACTGAGCCATCTCTCTAGGCCCCATCTGTTTTCTTTACAAGGAACATAGCAGCGTTTCTCTGCTTAGAAACACTAGCCCAAATTTAAGAAGTAATGATAGTCATTTTAAATGTTGAAGTCAGGGGCTGGAAAGATGGCTCAGTGGTTAAGAGTAGTGGCTGAGTAGAGTACAGAAATAAAGTTACACATTTAGGTTCGATTCCCAGCACCCACATGGAGGCTAACAACATCTGTAATTCCAGTTTTAGAGGATCCGACACTCTCTTCTGACCTTCTCGGGCACTACACAACATGGGTGCACCTCCCCACATGCAGGCAACATACTTATATATAAAATAAAAATAATAAAGTTTTTTTGGTCTTTTTGAGACAGGGTCTCCCCATAGTCATAGGCCTGGATTCGCTATGGAGACAAGGCTGGCCTCAACTCACAGAGATCCACCTGCCTCTGCATCCCGAGTGCTGGGATTAAAGGCAGGCACCACTACACCCAAATTAAAAATTTTGCTGGGTATGGCGGCCCACACCTTTAGTCCCAGCACTAGGGAGGCAGAGGTAGGTGGATCTCTGTGAGTTCAAGGCCAGCCTGGTATACATAGTAAGTTCCAGGTCAGCTGAGGCTACAGGGAGACTCTGTCTCAAAGAGACAAAAAAAAACCCAAAAAAACCCAATCTCAGTCATTTGGCAACTCATCATCGAAGAAACAAATCTGACCTGAAAAAAAAAATTTTTTTTAAAAAGAAAAAAAGTACTGGAGCCAGGTAAAAAATCAAATGGGTTAATTTTGTATGCAAGAACATAAATTTGGGGGAACAAATTATCCTTTGACTTCCATTATTTTTTGATGTAATAAAAAAATAAAATTCCATTTGCAATAGCATCAAACAGAATAATATATTTAGGAATGCCATACACAGAAAACTATAAAACATTATTGAAAGAATTTAAAGACATAAATGAATAGAAAGACATGCTATATATGTGGCTTAGAGAATTTAATATTAAGATGGGAATACACTCAATCTTCAGATGCAATTCAGTTTTATCAGAATTCCAACTTCCTTTCTGCAGAAATAAGATAAGGCAATCCTCAGATTAATATGGAATTTCTACGGACCCCAAACATACACAATAATTTTGAAAAAGAACAAAGTTAGAAGACTCTTGCCTCCTGCTTTCAAAATGTCATACAAAGTTATGGTAACCAAAGAGGGGAAGGGGGAAGGGGAAGAGAGGGGGAAGTGGGGAGAGGGGAGAGGGGAGGAGGAGATGGGGAATGAAACAAACAGGCAGGGTATGGCAGCACATGACTGCAATCCAGAACTTATATGAAGTGAAAGCCAAGATTTTGAATTCAATCCTGGTTAAACTAGAGAATTCAAGGCCACCCTGAACAGCATTAGGCCCAACCTCAAGTCTGGCGTGGTGGTGCATACCTTTAATCCCAGCACTCCAAGGCAGAGGTAGGTGGATCTCTGTGAGTTTGAGGCCAGCCTGGTCTACATAGTGAGTTCCAAGCCAGCCCCACTACAGGGAGACCCTGTCTCAAAAACACCCTACCTCAAACAAAACAAACAAAAAAATATAAAAATCAATGTGATAGCCGAGTGTGGTGGTGCATGCCTTTAATCCCAGCACTCGGGAGGCAGAGGCAGAGGCAGAGGCAGAGGCAGGCGATCTCTGTGAGTTTGAGTCCAGCCTGGTCTACACAGTGAGTCCCAAGCCAGCTGGGGCTAATGGGAGACCCTGTCTCAAAAAAAAAAAAAAAAAAGAGTATGAATAGAGTACAGAAATGGAGTTACACATTTAGGATCAACAGATTACACACACAGCTGGGTATGGTGCTGCACACTTTTAATCCCAGCACTCAGAGGCAGATACAGCTCTGTGAGTTCCAGGTCAGCCTGGTCTACGTATCAAAGTCTAGCTACATAGTGAGACCCTGTCTGTCACAAAACGAAAACAAAAAAACCCACATATGCACATATAGTATTTTGAAATTTGAGTAGTATATGCATAAATATGCAAAATAAGTATAATAAATTGTAGGCCAGAGGAAGAAGAGACTTTTTGAACAGTCTTGAAGTTTAATTCTATGTTACTCTACTGTTTAGTTATTTTCCTGTTTATTAAACACCTCCAAAGACATCTAGTAAGATATTTCAGTAGCATGGTCCATACCTTTGAATGATCTGAAAGGAAATCTGGAAGGAGATAAACTTGTGCCAGTAGCTCGGTGTAATCATGGCAACGAAAATAATAAATATGGGAAAGAATATTTTCAAGAGTAAAATCCTCCAAGGCTTTCTGATGTTCTGAAACAAACAACAAAGCAATCTTAAAATAGGAAGTTTTACTTGTTCTAATATGCTAAACATTACAGATATTTTTAAGATGTATTTATTTGCTGTGTATGAGTGTTTTGTCTGCATCTATGTATGTGCACTACTGCATGCAGCACCTCTGGAGGCCAGAAGAGAATGTTGGCTTCCTTGAACTGGAATTACACATGGTTATTAGCCACCATGTGGGTGCTGGGAACCAAACCTAGGTCCTCTGCAATCTAGAAATTGCAGGCAATCTAGAAATTGTTTACTCACAATTCTGTCTCTTTTCATATTTCCAAATATTGACTTCCATTGAACAGAAGTAACATAATGGAAGGTTCTCTTTTTTTAATATTTTTTATTTTATGTGTATGAGTGTATTGCCTGCATGTATGTGAGTGCACCCATGTTGTGCAATGCTGCAGGGGTCAGAAGAGGGCTTCGGATTCCCCTGGAACTGGAGTTAAGGATGGTTTGTAGCCGCCATGTGGGTGCTGAGAATCGAACCCGGATCCTCTGCAAGCGCAGTGCTCTTATCCACTGAGCCATCTCTCCACACCCATATCTTGTTTTTTTAAAGGCTACAAATTAAGAACTCAGAAGAAAAATGCTATAATGAAGTCTTTTTTCCCTTTAATACTGTAATTTGGTGTTGAGTATAAATAGTAATATAAAATCTTAGCCACCACACCTTTAATCTCAGCACTTGAGAGCAGAGGTAGGCTAATCTCTGTGAGTTCCAGGCCAGCTGGGGCTACAGGGAGACCATGTCTCAAAAAGAATAAAAGAAAAAAAAAAAAGAGAGAGAAACTAATTAATTATTATATTTTAAAGTGTATTTAAGGGCTGAAGAGATGGCTTAGTGGTTAAAAGCACATATTGCTCTTCCATAGCATCAGAGTTTGATTCCTAGCATCTATTTGGGCAGCTGACAACTGCCTGTAACTCCAGCATTATACTCAGTTTGCACAAACCCAAACAAAGACAAACACACACAAATAATTAAAAATAACAAGGGGCTGGAGAGATGGCTCAGCAGTTAAGAACACTGTGTTCTTGCAGAAGGCCCGGGTTCGAATCCCAGCACCCACATGGCAGCTAACAACTGTCTGTAACTCCAGTTCTAGGGGATCTGACAGCTTCTTCTGTCCTCTCAGGCATAGTATGACACGGGTGCACTTACTTACACGCAGGAAATACACACACACAAAAAAAATAATATTTTTTTACTGATAATCATAATTTTAAGACAATTTTTTGCTCCACATACTTTTTGTTACTCATTAGCATCTAAAGCAAATTTGCATACTAATGAGATGGATATACTTGTTCATTTTTATATTAAGAATTAAATTTTGAGGTATGGCTGCCATGTCACATGTGTGTCAGTAGGTGGCAGAGAGGAGAGAGGCTATGTCTATGCTATGTTCTTACCAGTGAACATCTGAATGATCAGTAGCCTGATAGTCCCTAAGCTGCGCTGTGGGACCACCCTTCTCCCAGTTGGCTGGCCCAAGTTATCTGTTGCCCCTACATGTTCCCAGCAGGCAGCTGTTGCACAGAAAAGGAGTTTTTGTTAAATTGACTTGTTGGAGACCAAAACCAGTAACCTTTAGAAGGTCCTGGGGGGCCGGGGGGGGGAGCAGCAGGGCATAGTAGCACATCCCTCAATCCTGGCCAAAAAAGTAAAAACAGTGGTGACACTAAAGCCTTCCTTTCAGGCCATAAGTGGAATTGTATCTAATAATTTGCAGTGCTTAGCCAGCTATGCCCAGAATGTGAGGCAGCTGCCTATGTGTCCCCATTAATCCAGCTAACAGGGGCTTCCAGGGTGCTGTCCATGGTCTGGGTTTCTCCAGTACACTGCTTTCTCAAACTGGCCTAGCCTGTGTGAGACCCCAATCTCCATCCTTAACAGTGCAACTGGCCGGCCTCTGGGGTGCAGTGGTTCACCATTCATCAGAGATTCCACTTTCCGCTGGTTCAGTTACCCATGGTCAGCCACAGATCAAAAATACCAAGCAGTAAAGTGTGAGGTAAGGTATTATGCTGTCTGGCTCTGAGAGTGAGTCATTCCTCTACCCAGCATCCCTGTGGTTTTATGCTAATCAAAACAGCTGTTGCATGAGTGCAGTCCTGTGTTCAGCCCTCATGATGCTGACAATGAATATACCAAGGAGACATGCTAAAGTGCAAGGGAAGGTGGGTAACTGCAGCGGCCTGTGCTGTGTGCCTTGGGCTGAAGAGCCAGTCATGGCCCCGTTAAGATCAAGAAACCAGCAAAAACAAGGCACAGCTCCATCCTGTGGCTGATCTGGACAAGTGCAGATACAGCTCCAGACCATGGGCCTCATGGGTGTGGCCACTGTTACCTGGCCAAGGCACTGCTGAGCTGCCCACATAGCTTTCTTCTTTTGGGGGGCATGGGGGTTCCAGGCTGTCTCATCCTAGTAGCTCAGGTCCTGAATTGTCAATCTTATTTGGATTGACTTGGGTTTGACTAGAGGGTGTGGTGAGCCTGTGATGACCTATGATGGTGGTACCTAGAGATTCCATGCTGCCAATGTGAGATGTGGTCTTAGCAGTGATAATTACTTAAGAGGCAAAACTGACTGCGAGTACTGTATCAAATGACCCAAATAAACCTGTTTATTCTTAAAAGGTGAAAAAAAAATTAAATTTTGGCTGAATATTTGATGCTGTGGGACATAGAACTTCTTCAATGTCTTCAGAGTTCACCAATATTTTGATTTTATACTAATCAATGCTGAGAACATCACTTTGCATAAATAAACAGTACAAATGGATATAATATGTTTAGGGTCATTACAGAAATTGTTGGAAATTCTGTCCTAAGCCTAAGCCAAAATTTAATGATTTTTTTTCAATGAAACTCAAGTCAGCAACTAAAACACAATTTTTTAAATCAAGCATCCTAACAGAGTACAATGAAAAGACACACTAATTTGATACTTGTTGAAAAATTACATAATTAAATCATTATGTTTCTATAAAACCAGAAAACTTTGTATGAATTGCAGTGAAAAAAACTGCAATTCATAACATTCAACAGTCTTGAATCTGAGCATAGGTGTTTCAGGCAGCGTTTATTCATGTTGTATGACATGGCATGGCAGTTCAAAGTTCATGTGTTGTGTGTTCAGAATCAAGGCTGAGAGGAGGCTCGGCAGTTAAGAGTGCTTACTGCCCTTGCAGAGGGCTGGGGCTGTTCCCAGCACTCACTTGAGGCTGCTTACAACCATCTGTTCCAGTGGATCCAATGCCCCCTGGCCTTCTCAGGCACCTGCACACATGGTAGACATCAACTCAAACAGGCACACATATATACACATAAATTTAACAAATAAATAAATCTTGGTGCTGGCCAGATGGCTCAGCAATTGAGAGAACTGACTGTTCTTGCAAAAGACCGGGGTTCGAATTCCAGTACCCACAATAATTTTTTTAATTAAAAAAAACTTACGTATTTTTAAAAACCCTCTATATCCCAGTGCTTCAGTGTATCTACAGTATGTACAGCAAGGTTTTAAGTCATTTATTACAAGTAAACATTATGACATGGGTAAGACATGGACAAAAGATTTGTTGCAGAGGATCCAACGCCCTCTTCTGACTTCTATGGGCACTACATGGCATGAATGCACTTATACACAGGCAGGCATACACATAAAATAAATAAAAATATTTTTACAAATAAGATATTTTTAAAAAGATATTAGCATGTTAGTATTTTATATATGCTTATTTTATATGTTTCTATATGCAAATACCATGGTGCACATGTGGAGGTCTGAGAACAACTTGCAGGAATAGTTCTCTCCTTCTATCGTGTGGGTTCTGGGGATCAAATTCACATTGTCTGTCTTGGTGGCAAATGCCTTTAATCACTGAGTCATCCTGATGACCCGAAGTCCTTACCTTTTCAATTACTTATAAAAGAAAATGGATGCTGCATTAGGTGTGGTGACACATACCTGACATCCCAGCATTTGGGAGACTGTGTAGAAGGATCACAGACAGCCTGAGTTACACAAAGAGTATTGTACATCATTCTGCAAACAGAGATGTCAGAGTTTAACACTAGTACACTGCTTAGTCATTAAGCTTCAAGTTTGGGACAGTCTCTTACTGGGGTTTGAGATGAGCACAAATAAAAATTGCTTTTTTCTGGCTTTTTTGAGACAGGGTCACCTTATATTCCCAGCTGGTCTGGGAACTTGCTATGTATATCAGGCTGGCCTCTATCTCACAAAGATCTACCTGGCTCCGCCTCCCAAGTGCTAGGATTAAAGGTGTGTGCCATCGCACAGAGCTTTTTTTAAAAAATAGCCTTTCTTATACAGAAAAAGAGAATCACTGTTAACTTACCTTCTTCCTTGTCCGTTCCTGCTATAAGATGAAGGTGCTGAATGCAGGCAGTAGCAAGGTCTACCACTCTGTCAACCATAAAACTTCCCTCTGTGTCAATAAACACTGCTTCACCTGCCACTCCTCCAAAACATTCTGGAATCTGCACATCTACTGCCAACTGCAAACTGTCCAGAAATGAGTCAAATGAACAAATCATTATTATGACTATTATCGTGATCATCAAGACACTATTTTTCAAACTACAAATAACGGGCAGTTAGACCACTAAGTTTTCTAACTATAAAAATATTCCCCAAGGCCGGGCGTGGTGGCGCATGCCTTTAATCCCAGCACTTGGGAGGCAGGCTGATCTCTGTGAGTTCAAGGCCAGCCTGGTCTACATAGTGGGTTCCAGGACAGCTGGGGCTACAGGGGGCCCCTTTCAAAAAAAACCAAAAAAAAAAAAAAAAAAAAACTCCCCAAGGAATAGAGGTAGCTAACTCTTCATAGCTCTAGATACCTATGAATCAAGAGATACCTGGATTAGTGTGTTCTATAAAATTACTATTTTTTTCTAGGCTTCTGGGGATTGAATGCTTTCTTTTTCTTACTTATTTTTGAATTCCTTTTCCTCTCATTCTTTCTTTTTGAGACAGTCTTGCAATGTGGCCCAGGGTGGACTCTCCATCCTTCTGCCTCAGACTCCATCCCTATCCTCAGTGCTGGAATTATACAAGTATACCACCACACCCAGGTGGGCATACCCCCCATACACACATTTTTTTGAGACAGAGTCTTACTATACATTAGCACCTGCTATACAGCCCAGGCTGGCCTTCAACTCCTACCAATCCTGCCTCAGTATCCTGAGATTATAAAAGTATGCCAAGAACTCTATTATACATAAACCAACTTTCAGGCATTTGGCATTCAAATATATTCTCAGAAGTGAATGACTTAGAAGAGTGCTGTTTACTCTAGTGATTACACTATATTACAAAAGGAACATCTTTGATTTAAAAAAAAATCACTCTATCAATTTATCATGGAGTACTGAATATAAATGGTGAGCTGAGTTTTGTGTGATGCACATATACACAAAATAACAGCACAAACACACTTTTTGGTTTCCTAACTCCAACCCACAGCAAAATATTCTATTAGTTACATAAAATAACTAAGCCCACTCTTAAGTAGAGAACATCCTATTTTACCATAATTGTGTTTTTCCAACACCTGGTACACCACAAATTTCTGTCGTTTTCATTAAGGGTATTCCACCCCCAAGAATATTATCTAGTGCTGAACAGAAGGTGATTATGAAGCCCTGGGTATGCTCCTGCTCAAGAAGTTCCAGTGCTGTGTACTTCTTTCCCGACTCAGATGTACCAGCATATTTTGGTTTATGTGTGAGACAGTCTCTTCTTATGATTTGTAGAGTTTCTAAGGCTTCCTCTCTCGATATCCCAACTTCTGAAAGTAAGAAGAAATTGCTATTAGAGATTTTAAAAAATTAGCAATTACTACAGTAATGTATTGATACAGTTATCTTCATTAATTTTAACATGTATGTATTTATCAGTAGGGCTGGGGAATCAAACCCAAGGCCTTGGGCATGCAAAGCAAATGCTCTACTACTGAGCTACAGTCCTAGCTATAAGTTTCACTCCTGTTAAAAGTTAAAATTGCTGGGTATGGTGGCCCATGCCTTTGATCCCAGCACTGGGGAGGCTGAGGCAGGCGGATCTCTGTGAGTTCAAGGCCAGCCTGGTCTACATAGTGAGTTCCAGGACAGCTGGGGCTACAGGGAGACCCTGTCTCAAAAAACCCCCAAAAAAAGTTAAAATTGAGGGCTGGAAAGAGAGCTCAGGAGTTAAGAGCACTGGCTACTCTTGCAAAGGACCTAGGTCTGGTTCCCAGCACTCACACGGTGGCTAACAATTGTCCCTAACTCTAGTTCCTGGGGATGGGACACCTTCTTCTGGCCTCTGCAAGGACTGCATGATATGAGTGTATTTACATGCAGTTACAACACACACACACACACACACGCACACAAAAAAAAGTTAAAATTGGGCCAGGGATGTGGCTCAGTGCTAGAGTACTTAACTAGCATATGCAAAGCCCTAAATTAAATCCCCAGCACTTAAAAACTCAAGATTCTGTCTTCTTTGGTGAACAAGAGATGTAGGCAGTTACGGGCATGGTGAGTATGACTACAGTCAGCTTCACCCTGCTGTACCTAGAAATGCAGTGGCTCCCACTGACGTAATCTGAAGAGCTCGGGGAAAGGTTTGGGGTTTCCGGCAAATCACAGAGGGGGTGTCTTCTCTCTAGGGCATTCTCCAGGTCTAAGGGCATATACTTCCTTTCTCAAATGTCTCCATCCTCTTCTAATCCTTCATGTCTCGAGTTCAATTCCCACCCCTTTGGATCCTGGGACAGGGGAAATTAGACGGCTTGTCTGTTTCGCAACTCAAGATCCACTATTTCCTAACCCAGTTATCATGAAAAGGTACTTAACCTCCTCAAGATGAGCAATCGTTTCTTTCATCTATATATTGGACATCCTGGTCTAAGCGGTTCTTTTGAACATAAAGGAGACAGTCCTCAAAGCGTCCAGGACACACTGGCACAGAAACAAGAGGATAACTTTCCACGAAGTTCTAAGCACAGACCACTTTAGGGCGGAGCTGGCGCCGGGACGTGGGAGGCGGGCGGCGGGCAGAGCCCATTACCTCTGCTGAGTTCGCAGGGCTTCACCTCCATGAGGTCCTCGGCTGTCTGGAAGCCGGCCGACACCAGCTTCACGCGAATAGCGGGAGACAGCGAGAAACTCGCTAAATCCCGCTGCATTTCAAAGCTCCTCGCACACGAACGGACGCGGTGACGCAGACCCAAAGCAGCCAAAGCCCAGGTGGCTCAGACCCCGCACGCCGTGTGACGTCGGACGTAAAGCGGAAGGGGCGGGGCTCGCGGCCTAGCCTGACGAGGCTTTGCTGCTGTGGAGTGCCACAGATCTTACACTTAAGTGTTGCGTTTCCAGGGGGATTCTTCCGAGTCACGTTTTGGGGTTCTCTTAATCAGTGTACATCTTGACAGCAGAAAACGGATGGGGGTTCGAGGGTGGTGACCAGGCCCAGTGGGCCCCACACACCACATGGCCTTGCCTTGCGTAGGCCCTGGGGATTCCTCAAAGGGATTAGTAGGAGTGATCTCGATGGAGGAAGCCGTAGGCGACTGCTGGCAGTCATGAGTGTGCTGGGACAAGCTCCGGAAGCTCTTCTACGAGCATGATGGCCTCCCCCCTAGGCTTCTAGACTCTTCTGGCCACCCGTCCCCTTCTGTGCTTTTCCCGCCCTCGCAAGGGATTGTGGGCCAGCCCCCCCACCCCCAGGGGAGCGGTTTGCGGGGAGTTGTTGGCGCTCGAGCGCACCCACTCGTGCCTTGCGGTGAGACCAGTCGGTGCACGGGAGTTTTCTGAGAACGTTAGTGTGTAACCAGCCTGCTTTGCGTTTGGAGTAGCTGGAAAAGTAAGCAAGTCCTTGACCGGGTCGTCTTCTACCTTCGGCCCCTCGAGCCCCCCCGAGGGAGGGACGGGACTCTTGTGTAGAGTGGGCAGGGGGCTGTTAACACAGGGGGCGTCCTGGCTTCCAGGAGTCAGGCTTTGGGGAAGGCCGGGAGGCCGCTCCAAAGTGAACCACAAGGGTCGCTTGAAGAGTACGGAGGCTGATCTACAGAAGTGGCCTGTTTCCTCCTTTGTTCGTGTATTTTAGTTAGGCATGTTTTTGAGACAGCGTCTCACTGTGCCTCAGCCTCCTAAATTCTTGGGTTTTTAGCGTACGCAACGTTACCCATCTGCACCTTACAACGGTGTTGGGTGTCGTGTATTAATTTAATCTTATTTGATTTTTTTTTGTGACAGGGTCTCCCCGTAGCTCTAACTGTCCCAGAACTCCCTATGTAGACCAGGCTGTCCTCGAACTTAGTCCGATCTACCTTGCCATTCCCAGCTTGGCAATTTTGAAAATTTTTTATTACATTTATTGTGTGTGTGTGTGTGTGTGTGTGTGTGTGTGTGTGTCTACACATACCACTGTGCTTGTGTGGAGGTCAAAAGCCATTCCAGTAGAATTGGTTCTCTTCTTAATCATGTGGGGTCCGGGGATTGAACTCAGGTTGTCAGGTTTGGCCACAAGGCCTTTACCCTCCAGCCATCTCACCACTCCCTTGGGAATGATTCTTAATTTTGATTTTTCTTCACAGCTTAAAGAAACCTGAAATACAGCAAATCAGAACCTCTCAAGTAGAGAAGGAAGCAACATGTTAGAGTAGCAATCCCCACACATTTCAATTATGCAGAGACACTCCATGAAGAGAATTAAGGACATAAAAGCTCAAAGCAGTTTTCTTGAAACTAAAGTTTAAACCCCAAACTCTTTTACTGCCTTGAGCAATCTCCAGATTCTACCCCTCTCCTCGGAAAAGGAGAATTTTCAGTGTATTTTATTTGGCAACTCAGGGAAAGCTTGGTAAGACTGGTGAAATATGGTTTGTGTAACTAACTGCATTGCTTAGCTTGGGGCCCTTGGTGGTTATTACATAAATGTTATCCTTAGGGAGGAGTCATGCTTATGTTTATAAAGCAATTGGGTTCTTGGGTGAGAAGAGGTAGTGAAATAAAACAAGGAAAAGAAGAGGTTGTTTACAGGTAGCAATCCCTCTTCAGTTTGGTTAAGTACAGTGGGAGATTTTTTTTTTAGAATGTTGTTTCATCAGCAGCAGAGCTAAGAAACTAGTTGACTGTACTTGAACAATTAGGTACTGTTAACATCTGACCCTTCCCTTTCATGTAATTATTATCTTCCCTGGATGTGATAGCACAGACCTGTAATCCAAGCTACTGAGGAGGTTGAGGCCTACAAAGTGACTAGAAGGCCCTCCCCGGCAGCCGAGACCCTATCTCAAAAAAAATAGAAAGACCTGTGGATATGTCTCAGTGGTAGAGTGTTAGAGTGTTTGCCTAGCATTTGTGATGATTTTAGTTCAATCCACAATTCTACAAACAAACAAAAATCTATATGCTTTTTATTATTCTCTGTTGAAGTTTTTAATATGGCTCCTCAATCCCCAGCAATGACCATTATTTTTTTTTTAAGATGGTTTCCCTGTAGCCCCAGTTGGCCTGGAACTCACTATGTAGACCAGGCTGGCCTTGAACTCACAGAGATCCACCTGCCTCTGCCTCCTGAGTGCTGGGATTAAAGGCCTGCGCCACCACGCCCAGCTGGCAAAGACCATTCTATTTTGTTTTATGAGTTTGAGTTTTCTGGATGGATAATTCATACAAATGAGTAATATAGTAATTGTTCTTCTGTGACTGGTTTATTTCAAGATTCATATATGTTGTAGCATCTATCACAGTTCCCTTTTTAATTACGTTTAGTGTGTGTGTATGTGTTGCAGTCATACCATAGCATATGTGTGGAGGTCATAGGACAACTTTTGGGAAGTCAGTTCTTTCCTTCCACTGTGTAGCTCCCAGAAATCAAACTCAGGTCCTCAAGATTGGCCCATTTCACTGGCCCTTTAGGTCTGTCTTTTTAAATTATTATCAGAGCTGGGGAAATGGATCAATGAATAAAGCACTTGCTGCCAGCATTAAGATCTAAGTGTGAATATGAAGGATACACATAAACTGAGCACTGTAGCATTTCTGTAATCTCAGTACTCCTGCATAGAGATGGAAGGCAGACATATGCAGCGGCTAACAACAAAGAGACTTTCTCAAGGGGAAGGTGAAGACACTTGAGGTTGTTCTATGACCTCAACTTGTGTGCCATGGCCCAAGCACACTTGCATTCCTACACATGAACACATGTATACATACATCATACCCAAAAATAATTATCAGGAAAAAAATATCAGAGGCAGGGCATGATGACTCACATCTGTAATTTCAGCACTCAGTGGTTGAGACAGAAAGATTGTTTCAAATTTGAGGGCAGCCTGACCTGCATATCAAATTTCAGGCCAACCAGAGCTACATAGTGAGACCCTGCCTCAAAAAATAAATAAAATAAAATAAATAAATAGGGCCTGGAGAGATGGCTCAGCAGTTAAGAAAACTGGCTGCTCTTTCAGAGGACCTGAGTTCAGTGCCCAGCACCTACATGGCAGCTAAGAACCATTCATAACTCCAGTTCCAGGAGATCCAGTGCCCTCATCTGGCCTCTGCAGACATTGTACACATGGTATGCTTACATATATGTAGACAAAGCACTCACACATAAAATAAAAATAATAAATAAGCCAGGCATGGTGGTACATGCCTTTAATCCCAGCACTTGGGAGGTAGCAGCAGGCAGATCTCTGAGTTCAAGGCCAGCCTGATCTACATAGTGAGTTCCAGGACAGCTGGGGCTGCAGGGAGACCCTGTCTCAAAAAGACCAAAGAAAAAAAATTTATTCATCCAGTGGCATAAAACAGCCCAGAAATAGTGTATATTGGCAACTAACCTTTCTGTACCTTTTTGCACACCTCATAGAGTGGCAGTGAAGATGAAATTAGTCATCATATATATGTAAAAAAAAAAGAACTGCCTGACATATAGTAGGAGCTATATAAATTATGCTCACTGCTACTGTCGTTGTAACTGTTTTGTTGTTACTATTAATGTTATTTCACACTAAAAGCTATGCATCTGATTTCTGTGTTTAAGAGAGAAAATGTTAACAGTGTTCTAAGGAGGCTGCAAAAGAAAAAGTGCAATTTAACATAAACTGATAGGCTCTTGAACCAACGCCTCCTTTTTATTCATTCTGGCAGGAGACTGAGGGCGGCCTCTGAGTGGGGGAAGTGAGTCACCAAGGAGGCGGTACTATGTAGATAGAGAATTCAGATGCAAACTGGGAAAAGCTGTATTTTCCATACTTGTGGACTTCGGAGTGTAGTTTGGGGAAATTTCAAAGACTGAATCCTCAGAAGGGTTTCTGGGTATTTGAAGTCACTTTATATAACTATATTGAGTTTTTCAGTGGGGGTTTAAATTCAGACCATATGTAAGTAGTGTTATACATACCAGGTTGTGAAGGCCACCTAATATCACAGCTCATACTTACCTGGCAGGGGAGATACCATGATCACGAAGGTGGTTTTCCCAGGGTGAGGCTCATCCATTGCACTCCGGGTGTGCTGACCCCTGCGATTTCCCCAAATGCGGGAAACTCGACTGCATAATTTGTGGTAGTGGGGGACTGCGTTCGCGCTCTCCCCTGGTCATTTTGTCTCTAAGAAAAGCAATTTGTCTTTAAGCTTTCCCTAAGAAGGAAGTAGAGTACAGTGTGCTGTGTACAGCTCTTTAAGACTTGTGGGGGGTTTCGTGGACTTAAAGTCCTGGTCACTCTTATTTCTAGGTCTTCTGGTTTCATCAAAATTCAAATACTTGTATTTGTGTGGATGCAGACAAGTAGCCATGGGTACAAACAAGTAAAACAAAAGTAAAGGCTGAAAACTTACCAGGCATCCTGGCAAACACCTTTAATTCTAGCACCCAGATCTCTGTGACTTTATGGCTAGCCAGTGCTACATAGATTCTGTCTGAAAAACAAAATACAAAACAAAAAAGGGGTTGGTTAGTGGGATGGTTCAGTGGTTAAGAGCACTTGTTACTCTTCTGGAGGACCTGAGTTTGGTTCCCAGTACCCAGTTTGGGCTGATAACTACATGTAACTTAAGTGCTTTCCTCTGGCCTCTGAGCGCACATACCCAGAGTTGTTGCCTGTTGGTGCCAGACAATAACGGGGCCTCTTGTCTGCCCTGTATCACTCCTTTTTTTTTTTTTTTTTGAGACAAGGTTCTCCTGTAGCCCCAGCTGGCCTGGAACTCACTATCGTAGACCAGGCTGACCTTGAGCTCTGCAGTGTTCCCCCC